GAGGGTAATAAGCATATCTTCAAAAAATGACCTTAATGAAAATTTGTGCCTGTACTGTGCCATTGTTTCAGCATACTGCTAATGTATACAACTGCTTTAGTTCTGGTTTACAGGCTGCTGCAGTCTCCCACTCTTCCTACTGTAGAATCAATAAGCATCTGAAAATACATAATGAAAGTAATTTAACATACTGAAGGCTTCTTGTCTCCAGAGACACCACTGAGATTCAAGCTTTCTAAAAAAGAAAAGCGGTGCTTCTGAGAGGAAAGCTTGCGATGGGCAGCTTTTGCAGAATGACAGCCTACCTTGTCGCTTCTCCTCACTGCAGAGAGATGCAGTGCATTCACTAATTTTGATTGGTCAGTGATGTTGGGCTTAAACTGTGCTTCATATATGGGATTGATGCCCTCCCTCCCCCCGATTTATATAAGGATTCTTTTGTAAAAGGACTAAATTTACAAATGATTTATGAATTCTGGAATATATTAAGGGTATGCCAGTTTTATTTTTACCTTTTCAGTCTTTACTTTGTGTATGCTGGAAACCACATGACACTGAAAAAAAAAAAGGGATTAAACGTTTATTACTTAAAAAGCTTCCAACAATCTATATTTGAATTTGCCTACTTGCCATTTGTGGTTTTTTTTTTTGTCCTAAGAACATCTCTGAAATAAAACTGCCTGTTTGAATCATGCTGAATTTCACCTGGCATGTTTATATGCAAGTGGACATTTAGGTGTTGTCTTGAATAAATTGTATTCAGGACAAGTTGGTACCTGCATGTATATTAGGAAAATTTCTGTTAGGATTCATGGAGATTATTCATACCCTTAAAATGGGTTGATAATTCGGTTTATTTCATGAATCAGAAAAGAATTCTTTTTATCATCCGTCACCATGTACAGTGTATGTATAGTAGTGTAGGTTGTTAATTTTGTTGAAATGTTAACTTCTAAAAAAAAAATCTTGTACGTTTCACGTGAATTTTGCTAGAGACTTCACAGGTTTTTGTAAGGGTATCTTGCATGATGTTCTTGACCTTCACTTTGCAGAGGGCAGCGAGTGTCTTCATTTTCACTTTTTCGTTTTGTAACTTATTTCTGAATCTGTTCTGTCAGTGTAAACAGCGCTCACGACCACATAATGAGAAGTAGGAGAAGTGTAGCAAGTACCTGTTTTAATTAGTACTAATGCTAAAATAAACCTTGGAAATAAATTCAGTATGCAACCCAAAATAATATTTTTTAAAAATCGGTTTGCTTGAAGCAAGTAATTTAAGAATATCTGAGTATAAAATGTTCTGCTGGTAGTTTTTAGTTGTATGTAAGTGTGGGGTGTGGGGCTTTTTCAGTTCAGTTTTTTTTTTACCTTGATTTTAAAGATTTTTAATAATATTTTAGTTTTAAAATTTGATAAAATACTAAGTGTTAAAGCATGATTCTTACATAAGCAGCTGTATTAAGATGACAGTCTTTGTAAAATTTTGATGGGATCCTATGTTTTTGAGTTGTTAATGCAATTATAAAGTGCAATTGTATAACTCAGATGTCTACATTTCTTCTCTTTACTTTTTCTCTCAGCGACCTATGAAATACATTATTTAGGTAACAGCATACTTTATTTATTTTTTAAAATGGCTACATATCCATCTAGTATACTTTCTGTTCTGTACTCTTTAATATTCAGAAAATACGTAAATAAAGATTGCAGAAACTTTGAACAAAGATCAGTAGGTACCAGCTGGCTATGCTGAGTAGCAACTGATTGAGCTCTTTGAGCTGTCTCTGTATCGTCTCACTCTCAAGAGCCTGAAACCAGCAATACAAGCATAGCTCTTAAGGGTGACGTGATAAAGAGGATTCCTGAAATGAAAGCATAAATACTAATATATTAAAGAGATTTACTTGCTTCACTTTCAGTATGACTTAGGATAAGTAGGGAAGCCTGTCTAAATTTGAACAGATGAATCTCCATCTCCATTCTAATTCTTCAGTGTGTGCCTGGACAAAGATGGAGATATTGGGTGAGCTGTACTGGTAGAAAGAAAAAGAGGAAGATTGTAATGGGATTTTGGATATAGCATGGCTGTGTGGTTCAAACACAGGCAAAGCGGTCACGAAAGCCTTCCTATATTACAGGAGGTGATAATGGCAAGTTTTATCTGCAAAAAGTGTTTGAGAGGAATGATAAGGAGCTGAGTCGTGAACGTATCAAGCTTAAGTTTTCTGGAGAGAAAATCAGGAGAAGCAGCAGTACCATATGGAGGCAATCAGGAGTAGGTGGATGGATAGACATGCTTACAAGCCATTGCTATGCAGATGCTAGTTAAGATGGTGTGAACAGATGACATCATCCTCAAAGGGTAGATAGGGAAGAGTGGGCAAAAAGAGCCATGTGCAGACACCCAGCATAGACTGAAAAATGTGCTGTTCTTATACCTGTTTCTGTATCAGTACAGAATGGAAGAGAAAGAATTTGACTGGTATTTTGGGGTTTAGGGAAGTGAAAAGTGGGGTGGAAGGATAATGAGAGGGTAAAAATATCAGGGAACAGCAGGAGTCTTAAAGCAGGAGATTGGTGATGAAAGGTCTTAGGACTGAGAATGGCAACACAAGGGCAGAGGGAGACACAGAATATGACAGAGAGTAGAGCTGTGAAGGGTTGAGGCTGCTGGGTCTGATGTGGGGAGAAAATAAATGTAGAGAGGCAGGAGCTTGAAGCAGAGTGGAGAAGGAAAGAGTCATGTGCATGTAAAGAGATGCTGGGTGCACAGGGGTAAAAATAACTGCAGTTGCTGTAGCATACACCCCTGTAGTACTTTTAAATTGAATTCGGGAGTCATAAATGACTGTTAGAGTATTCTAAGTTTTTCTGTTTTGCTGAGAGCAGGAAGTAAAAAAATTTGGAAGTTGCAGCGTATTTCTTGGTCTTTTTTCCGTCTTTTATCTACTGTCTTACTTTCTACACACAGGATGTTATGTCCTAGCGTTGACTGTTACTGCATTCTGAAATGGTGGTAGGTCATTTGTAGATCTGGAAGTCTAAACTCTGCTGATGAGTTGATAAAATCACCCCGAATGCAGCTTCTTGCACTGCAGCTTTTTAAAGAAGCTTACTTTGTTACAAAGACTCCTTTGGCTTACAAGATCTATCAGGGCCAAACGAAGTACTCAATTCTGATGTTTTCTATCAGAGTCCTTGATTTTGGAGCTTTAGCATTCTTTTAATGTGCTTTAGGGTATAACTTTGCATAAACCTATCACAGACTGTCTTAACATCCAGGTGTCATGGAATAGACACATTCATTAAGATCTTTATTGGCACAGTTGGGAAACTGCGGCTGCTTGCTTTTCTTGTTCTCTGCATTATTCTTTTCTCAGTTTCTGTGATTATCTTCCCTGAATGCTTCAGCAACGCTTTCTGTTTCTTTCTTTGGGCTGCATGTCTTGTTTCCTAGTTTGAATCTTGATGCTGATTTAGTAGGTATTTAAAATTTTACTGCCTTTGGGTCTAAAAATGTCATTTGTTCTCATGTTTGCAAGAGACTTGCGCTCCTAACTCCTACAAATTTTTCAGTGACACATAATCTCTTTAGAGCTTAAGTTGCTTTGGAAAATTAATATTGGGTGATTTTGGACATCTTGCCCTGGGATTGTTCTTCAGCATTATTTACATGATGCACCTGCACAACTCCGTCTGAATAGATCCTCCTGTACCTTGCTCTTATGTACAGTGAGCAGTGTGGTGCCCAATTCTGGCATATCTCTTCTGGATAGTTTATTGTTTGTATCTGTTCTAGCACATCCATATCTAAATTATGTTTCTTACCTTGTTGCATCTTAGTTTTCTCAACAGCCTGGTGCAAAGACCTTTATTAAAATGTTGTTGAAAGTCCAGTAACTTTTATAGTACCAAGGAAAAATAAACAGTGGATAATAGCAGTGTGGGTTCAGGAGTTGTACTGACGTGCCCTTGTTGTGCTGGGTTTGTTAAGGTGTTCTGTTTTACCTGATACTGAAATTATGGCTTGCTGGCCTGGATCATGCTGCAGCATGCTTTTTTGTTGAAAAGGTGTAAATCTGAGTCCTAGTACACAAGTTCTAGTTGTAAAAGGTTTATTATTGTTTAAGAGTGATAGGCTCAATAGATGACAAAAATTCTGCTAGAATTTGTACATAAGTACCATTCTGACTGATGGTAAGCAGTCTATTCTTTGTTTTAACACAAGTACTTTATTCTCATTTCTTTAAACTATCAAGAACAGTTCTAAGGCTGTTTGTCTTTTTCTGTAGTAAAGACTGACATGCACAAAATTATTTTTCCATTCAGTGTCCTATCCGTAATATTTGTTTTCTTTTCTCCGTGATTGTTGATTGCCATACAACTTTCTTTGTTTTGTTATTTTTATAATGACTTATTTAGGTTGGGTTTTGGGTTTTTTTTTGCATTTCTAACTGCCATTTTTCCCTTGCCAGAAAACAGTCCTACACATGGGACATTGTTGATCTCAGTTTCTCCATTTTAGAATTACATCCATAGATTTAAAAAAATTTGGATTTTCCAGCTTAATTGTATATAATTTCATTGTGCTTCCTCTTCGGTTTGCAAAGATGTACACCTTTGGAAGCAACACAAGACAAGTGTTTTAAAATAGTTATAAAGTATATAATATATAAACCACATATAAAATATATATATTTTATATTTTTATGTAGTTTTTAATATACTATGAATATATATTAATTTTCAAGATGCAGAGTTAACGTTAGCATAGCGGCTTGAGTTCAGAAAAATTACCTACTTATGCTACAAAATAAGAATGCCTTAGGAGATTAATCTGTGTTTGTGTAATTGTTAGGCATAGGTTATTTGATCAGGAGTATTCCATGTTGGTTCAACTGTTACCTTTTTAGCAGTGGTCATTCCTGTAAGCATGGAGGAAATGTGTAAGTTACAGAATGCCCTTTAG